CCAATCTCACTCATGAATATCGACGCAAAATCCTCAACAAAATACTGGCAAACTGAATCCAAGAACACATCCGAAAAATTATCCATTATGATCAAGTAGGCTTCATTCCTGAGATGCAGGGCTGGTTCAACATATGAAAATCTATCAATGTAATCCAGCATATAAATAAACTGAAAGAAAAAAAGCATATGATCATTTCATTAGATGCTGAAAAAGCATTTGACAAAATTCAACATACATTTATGTTAAAAGTCTTGGAGAGATTAGGGATACAAGGGTCATACCTAATTATAATAAAAGCTATATACAGCAAGCCGACAGCTAACATCAAATTAAACGGAGAGAAACTCAAAGCCATCCCGTTAACTCAGGAACACGACAAGGCTGTCCACTCTCGCCATACCTCTTCAATATAGTGCTTGAAGTTCTAGCAATAGCAATAAGACAACATAATGGGATCAAGGGGATTCGAATTGGAAAGGAAGAAGTTAAACTTTCGTTATTTGCAGATGATATGATAGTGTACATAAGCGACCCCCAAAACTCCACCAAAGAACTTTTACAGCTGATAAACAGCTTTAGTAATGTGGCAGGATACAAGATCAACTCCAAAAAATCAGTCGCCCTCTTATACACAAAGGATATGGAAGCAAAGAGGGAAATCAGAGAAGCTTCACCATTCACGATAGCCACAAACAGCATAAAATATCTTGGGGTAAATCTAACCAAGGAAGTGAAAGATCTATTTGACAAGAACTTTAAGGCATTGAAGAAAGAAATTGAAGAGGATACCAAAAAAAATGGATGGACCTCCCTTGCTCTTGGATTGGGAGGATCAACATAGTAAAAATGGCAATTCTACCAAAGGCAACTTATAGATTCAATGCAATCCCCATCAAGGTCCCATCAAAATTCTTCACAGATCTGGAGAGGACAATAATCAACTTTATATGGAAAAACAAAAAACCCAGGATAGCCAAAACAATCCTATACAATAAAGGATTGTCTGGAGGCATTACCATCCCTGACTTCAAACTCTATTACAGAGCTACAGTGATGAAAACAGTGTGGTACTGGCATAAAAACAGAGAAGTCGACCAATGGAATCGAATAGAAGACCTGGATTTTATCCCACAAACCTATGAACACCTCATTTTCAATAAAGGAGCTAAAAGTATACAATGGAAGAAAGAAAGCATCTTCAACAAATGGTGCTGGCACACTGGATGTCAACCTGTAGAAGAATGAAAATAGACCCATATCTATCACCATGCACAAAACTCAAGTCCAAATGGATTAAAGACCTAAGTATCAGCCCGAACACACTGAACCTGATAGAAGAGAAAGTGGGAAGTACCCTACAACAGATGGGCACAGGAGATCGCTTCCTACGTGTAACCCCACAAGCACAGACATTAAGGGCAACATTGAATAAATGGGACCTACTAAAACTGAGAAGCTTCTGTAAAGCAAAGGACACTGTCACCAAGACAAAAAGGCAACCTACTGACTGGGAGAAGATCTTCACCAACCCAGCAACAGACAAAGGTCTGATCTCCAAAATATATAGAGAACTCAGGAAACTAGACTTTAAAATGCTAATTAACCCAATTAAAAAAATGGGGCACTGAATTGAACAGAGAATTCTCAACAGAAGAAGTTCAAATGGCCAAAAGATACTTAAGGTCATGCTCAACTTCCTTAACAATCAGGGAAATGCAAATCAAAACAACTTTGAGATATCATCTTACACCTGTCAGAATGGCTAAAATAAAAAACTCCATTGATAGCCTTTGCTGGAGGGGCTGTGGAGGAAGGGGTACCCTCATCCATTGCTGGTGGGAATGCAATCTTGTGCAACCACTGTGGAAGTCAGTGTTTCGGTTTCTCAGTAAATTTGGGATCAACTTACCCCTGGACCCAGCAATACCACTCCTGGAAATATACCCTATAGATGCCCTATCATATGACAAGAGCATTTGTTCAACTATGTTCATAGCAGTATTATTTGTAATAGCCAGAACCTGGAAACAACCTAGATGCCCTTCAATGGAAGAATGGATGAAAAAAGTATGGAATATATACACACTAGAGTACTACGCTGCGGTAAAAAACAATGACTTCTCGAATTTTACATGCAAATGGATGGAAATAGAAAACACTATCCTGAGTGAGGTATCCCAGACCCAAAAAGATGAATATGGGATGTACTCACTCATAATTGGTTTCTAGCCATAAACAAGGGTCACGGAGTCTACAATAGGTGAACCTAAAGAAGCTAAGTAAGAAGGTGAACCTAAGGAAAACCATATAGTTATCCTCTTGGCTAAGGGAAGTAGACAAAATTGCCGGGGAGAAAATTGGGATCTTGGGGGTGGGGTGGGATGGGGGTAAGGGGAGATGGGGAGAGAAAAGGTAGAAGGGAAGGAGGGGGGGGACTTGGGGAAACAGGAGGATTGGGATAAAGGAAGGTTGGATAGGGGAGCACGGAAGCACAATTCTTAGTTAAGGGAGCCACTTTAGGGTGGGCAAGAGACTTGACCCTAGAGGGGCTCCCAGGTGCCCAAGCCGAGGTCCCCAGTTAGTTCCTTGGGCAGCTGAGGATAGGGAACCTGAAATGACCCTATCCTAGAGCAATACTGACGAATATCTTGCATATCATCATAGAACCTTCATCTGGTGATGGATGGAGATAGAGACAGAGACCCACACTGGAGCACTGGACTGAGCTCCCAAGGTCCCAATGAGGAGCAGAAGGAGGGAGAACATGAGCAAAGAAGTAGGGACCATGAGGGGTGCACCCACCCACTGAGACAGTGGAGCTGATCTATTGGGAGCTTGCCAAGGCCAGCTGGACTGTGACTGAAAAAGCATGGGATAAAACTGGACTCTCTGAACATGGCGAACAATTAGGGCTGATGAGACGCCAACGACAATGGCACGGGGTTTTGATCCTACTTAATGTGCTGGCTTTGTGGGAGCCTAGCCAGTTTGGATGTTCACCTTCCTAGATATGGACGGAGGTGGGAGGACCTAGGACTTACCACAGGGCAGGGAACCCTGACTGCTCTTTGGACTGGAGAGGGAGGGGGAGAGGAGTGGGGGGAGGGGGAGAAAGGTGGGAGGAGGGGGAGGGAAATGGGAGGCTGGGAGGAGGTGGAAACATGTTTTTTTTTTTAAAACAAATTAAAAAAAAAAAGAGTGAGGTCCAGCGCAAATTTACACTCTGCTTACACTCAACAAAAGTGTCTTTCTCAGTGAAGAGACTGAGCAGTACACATTATTGTCTCCAGCAAATCTGCAACATTTGGGGAAGTATAACTCATTATTTTCACTAGCAAAATTATTTTGTATAAACCAATAACAAATGACATGTTTTTAAGATACTTCTGTCACTATCAGTTGTCAGAAGGGAATGCAATCCAATTGTGTTGAAACTCATTTGTTGGTTTCTACATCTCAGCCTGCTTCTAACGCAGCATTCCCAGGGAACACTCATGGCTCTGTCCTGTCCCTGTACACAGTGTTTCTTGAGGACCTCCTCTAAGCCCTAAGATGCCTCTAGACTAAGCCCCAGACCCTATGACAGCTCACACCTTCTGCCATGTCCACAGCACTTCCCACCTGTCTGACACCTCCTGTTCCCCAATGCTCAGCTCCATGTCTGCCCTTGTCCTGACTGCTCACGTCAGAGCCCTCCCAAGTGTCTGGTCCTCTCATGTTTGTCCTTCTAGGGCTAGCTCTTTATCATCAGCTCCTGGAGGCAGCCACTGCTGTCACTGAGAGCAGTGAGAGGACAAGGAGAGTCCAGATGAAGGTAGGGGTGGACCGCAGTCAGCTGGGGGTCCTTGCTTTTGCCTTGAGGCTCACTGGGCTCCTGGCACGTTGGTTTTCACCTGTTTGTGCTACTTTCTGGAAAGAAAACTTTCTGTTGTAGCCTTTGTTTCAGGCAAGGAGAAGCAGGGAATCTGAAGAATAAGAAGCTCTGAGCCTGAAATCTAGGCTGGGCAGCTGATGCTGAGGAAGACAGACATGTGGACAGGCTTGTACCACTCACACGAACCCATCAGTCACTCACCCACTTAGCAGCACTCCTGATCACTGGCCTGGGCCTAAGGACACTGTGACAGTGAGCAGGACCCTGCTCACATGGTGCTAGCACAGCAGAAAAGGCACAGAATAAAGTAGAATACGGGGCTGGCTGGGGTCAGAGAGGACTCCAGGAGGCTACCCTGGAGACATGATAGGAGTCAGAAAGGAGTGAGGAGGAGAGGCCTTTGGGGGGAAATAGCCAGCATCACAAATGGCTTCCTGAAAGGCTGAGGGCTACGCCAAGGCAGAGCCCATCCTCACAAGACAGGAGGCTTCTGTTTTGCTCCTTCTGTCTCCAGAGGCTGGACCCCAGCTCACTCTTCCCAGCAGGGGCTTGCTGGGAAGGCCTCTCTTGCTCTTTGCCAAAGGCAGGAGGAGGTGGTGAATACTGCAGGCCTGAAGAAGATCCAGGGAGATGATTCCTAAAATGCTCACTGTCAATGGCTGCACAGCCAGGAAGCTGCCATTTGGAAGGCCCTCACCAAAGCTCTGTCCCCTGAAACCACTGAGATGACAAATAACAGCTCTCAACACAGGGTACAGGCCACCAGGAGGAGGTGGTCACTGTCCTGATGGTTGCTTCCGCCATCCTTCAGTTATCACTCAACTGTATTAACACCACCTTTACAAATATAAAAAGCTCATTTCATTTAATCCGGATGCCTATATATTGCTGGTGAAGACAGTTAGCAAGGCCATCCAAGCTAACTTCTGCTTTACTATGCTACTGTGAAGTGAAATCATGAAAATCCTAACGGGAAGTAGGATATTAAGTGGGTAAGTATATATAAAATGTATTTATATTTTTAAAGCCCAGTATGAAATCAGGGCAGGAGCATCTGCACAACCTCCCACTCACTGAAGGTCTTACTTAGGTCAGGCAGTTGAAAGGAAGCAGTTAGCATTACCATCTGTATCTCCTCTGGAGACAGCTCATCTTCACCCCTGCCATCGCCCCAGGTTCCCAGTTCAGGCTGTGCTTCGGCCAAAGGCTTTTCTGTTAAGAAACAAAACAGTAAAGTGGACAAAGATAGGAGGCCAGCTATTCCTTCCAAATAGGTGGATGAAGAAACAGGCACATGAAGACATCAGAAGGAGTGGGGTTCTGTAGCATGGTCCATATCATACAGTTAGCTAACATCAGCAGCAGCTCCATGTCCCCGCCCACATAGTATGAAGTCTTCCTCTAGGACAGCCACATATCCTAGAACATGAACATTTTAATCTAGATAGCCTTTTGTTCACAACGAGGCAAGCACACAATGGCCTCTCAATAGCACAGGTGCCTAGAGCAATGGGTACAGCCTGCACACTGTAGTAGGGTTGGCTGATGGGAGGTAAGGACTGCTCAGTGGAGACCTGGACACATCTGTGTGTCTCCGTGTCCCTGGGCTCCATCACTGCTTTGCCAGGGACTCAAATGCTGTATCTTTTCCCTTTCTCCCCAGCCCCAATAAATTTCCTGTTGAGCTTAGCCCTGTGGGTGGTGAGAGTTCAGGAGTCCTGACTGGGAGAAGCAATCACAACAGCAGCAATCAAGAGCAGGCAGATCAGGCCCACCCTGGGTGACAGGCATGGCTACTGTTAGAAATGCATCTTCCCCAACAGTCACCTACACTCAGTGCAGGTGACACAGAGCTACAGACAAGGAAAAACACATCCGTATCACAAAGCATCCCCAGGCAGAATGGCACTGTTCCGAGGCAACACCCAGAGCATGTGAGCCATGTGCTTTCACCCATCCCCACACCCCTGTGACTTCTATCTCCTACTTGGCTTCACTTTTGGTCCCTATTTCAGATTTTTCTTCTCTTTCCCCTTTGAATAAAAAAACCAATCAGAAACATAAGCCCCATAATAATGGATCCAAGTATGAATTAGCTGCATCAGGATGGAGAAGTTCTGTACTCTACAGGCAGCTCACTGTACACCCCCTGAAGCTCTCCTGACCTGGGCCTCGGGACTCAGCCTGAAGTTTAGTGCTCACAGCATGCTGTGCCGACCTGTCAGATCCTGCCGCCCCACCTGCACCCCAGCCTTCCATGGTCTGGCTCCAGGCAGCCTCTCAACCACTTTTCCTACAGCTCCTCACTAACCCCGAAGGTCTTTAGTGACTGCACTCCACATGGGCCTCCATGATTTCTGACCCCCTGAGTGTTTTCTTGCTCTAACTGTTCCTTCACCCTAGAAGTTTCTAAGATTCTTTTTTTTTTGGGGGGGGGGTGTGGTGGTGGTGCTGTTGACTCACTTGCTCAGGGTTACCCCTTCCTGAAGTCCCCAGGACCCTCTGTCCCTACTTCTGCTTTTCCTAGGACACTACTTACTCCCTCCCAGGAATCGGAATCCTCTCTGGCAACAGTTAGCTTTACAGGGCCAGGAACAATGACTCACTTGAGAAATATATCTGAACACCCAGAAACCAAGACGGGCAAACAACAGAGATGTGAAGAGCACAGCCTTGCCAGGCAGAATGTCTAAAGAAAAGGCCTTAATGCTGGGGGTGGCAGGTCAACCGGGAGTAGAGGTGTGAACCTGCTAATAACTAAATGAGCAAGACAGACAAGAGACCAGCTCTTGCCTAGAACTGGGCCACCTTGTTCTGTGCCAGAACATGCTTGTCTAAGTGGCATCTCGGGTTTCAAAAGGAAATAAATACTCAAAGACAAAGTAAGCAAAGGACACATGCACATGGGCCAGACTTGAAAAGTCGCCCACAGAAAACCCAGCAGATGTCCACACACAGGAAGAAGCACTCCCTATTGCCATGGAGGAAAGGCAGACGCACAGCTCGGGAAGGAGAGCATCTGGTGGTTGGGGAAGATTTTTCCCGTCAACACTAGGCCACGATGGGAAGAAGGTCCTACTCAGGAAATCAGACAGCACATCAAAGTTGGATGCAGGCCTCTCCCTAGCAGCCTAGCCTGCTTCTCTCTGACATCTCTTAAGAGGTGCGCTCAGGCCATGGTTCCAAGCTGCCGATTCCCAGGATCCCTCAAGTTCCTAGCCCTAAGCTCTCCCTGCCCACTCCAACATCAATGCTATTTCCACCTGCACACCCAGCAGGCACCTCCGGCCCAATCATGTAGGTCAGTATGTGAGTTCCCTTCCCCCACCTCAGGCAGCAATGCCCCTCCCACCAGTTCTTCAGCCTCAAGTGCTCCCATCCCACACACTCACAGTTGCTACACCTAACACAATGTGACCCAAGCACTCGTCACTCTGCTCTATGTGAGTTCGGGTGCATATGTGGGGGTGATCCCTGGCAGCAGATGTCTTGTGTCCAGCCTACCAGCTTCCACACCACTTCTCAGCTGTTTCTGTGCTTTTCAGATGTAAGCTATACCATGGGACACTCAGGCTTTGGAATGCCCAGTTTACCATGCTGGGGTCCAACTCTACCTCAGTGTGTTGGCTGTATGGGTATGCCTCCCCATTTCCCCCACCCCATCCCCAGACCAGGTTGCCTTTCTCATGCTGCCCTTCTGGAGGTGTGAGGTGCCTTGTGGCTGTCATGTGCTCTCATCACTGGTGATGCTGGGTCCTCTTAAAGTGCTTATTTGTCATGGGTAGATGTTCCTTTAAGAGACTGACATTCATTCCACGTTTTTATGGATTTTGCATTTGTGTGTTTCTCATGTTAATTTATTTTTGGTTTTTCAAGACAGGGTTTCTCTGTGTAACAGGCCTGACTGTCCTGGAACTTGCTTTGTAGACTAGGCTGGCCTTGAACTCACAGAGATCCACCTGCCTCTGCCTCCAGAGTGCTGGGATTACAGGAGTGTGCCACCACTACCCAGATTTTTCTTTATTTTTAAAAATCTACTTGTTTGTTTGCTTGCCTGTTTGTTTGCTTGCCTGTTTGTTTTCTAAAGGCGCACAGAAAGAAAGGATATAGTGTTGGGTGGTCGAGCAGAAGCTGGGAGGAGTTGGGGGAAGGGAAACCATGATTAGCATATATTGGATGAGAAAGTTTTTTCTTGTGTCCATCCACGTGTGGTACAGTGTAAATGGTTTTCCACTCTGCAGGCTGTCTTTGCACTTGCTTGGTGGCCTCCTTTTGAAAAATTAACCCCAGTAACTAGCGCTGGTATCTCCCACATATCAGCAGGTAGAGCGATGTTCAGTGAGCATGGGAGTGAGTGCTGGGGCCCAGATGCTTCCATATCACATGGTCTTTGTCTCTACAATCTTCTGTGGACTTATGTGGACTCTAAGGTAGAGCACTAGAACAATGATCTCGTCACACTCACACACACCAAAACAGAAGGGTATGGGTACATGGACGGACCTTGCTCATTTCCCTATGAGTCTAAAGAGGAGCCATTTCCACTCACTAGGACATCCCTAACACCCAGCCCAAGGCCTGGCACAACATGCCATGTAGGCTTGAGGTCAGCAGTGAGGTCATCTTCCCATGAGACATCCTCTAAGCCCTCAGCTGGCACTGTTTTTCCCCTGTCCTCACCAGCCTGCATAGGAGTTATTGAGTGGGTGAATGACTGAATTTGGATGCTGTGTCCAGCTTTAGTAAATTTAGTTATGATGCCCCTGTCTTGTCTTCTAAGAAGTTGTGCCCCTGGGATTATGGGGAAGCCCGGGGCAGGCACAGGAGAGATGCAGAACCCCTGCCTGCTAGACCACATGAGCTACCAGCCAGGAATAGGCTGAAGCTGTGCAAAGAGAGCCACCCACGTGGAGGGCTGCCGTGCTTCCTCAGTGCTGGGCTTTGAGCTCCTATAGAACCTCTCTGAATCTTGGCTTCCTCACCTGCAAAACACAACAGTGCACACCTCCAAAGACCCAGTAAGAGTCTGGCCTGTGATCAGTCAGCACGTGTGGCACAACAAAGAGCTCCAAAAGTGCTGTTCCCATTGCACAAAGGACCTCCGGCATCCTCCAGGCTGGTGAACCATGGTGCATATGAGACACTTCTGATATCCAGGGAATCATGAGATAGAGGCGGGCTTGAAAGTCAAACCCACACACCAGTGAACCTTGGACCCACCACTTATGAGCTTTCACCTCTGACAAGACAGGCTCTGAGCCTGTCAAAGTCCTCTCAATAAAAGAGACTCATGATACTCCAGTGCTGCGGTGAGGCAAGGCCATGCAGAGCCATAGACATGGCAAAGGAGACATTCAGGCCTTGTGGCTTCAGTGAACCGCTAGGCAGTGAAACCAGCTTGCTTGTTAGCTGTATGCAGGGATGCATCCCTACTCAGAGGCACGTGGACTGCACACATAATGAAGCAGCCTGTGCCATTCAGACTTGAAGGAGACTCCGCATTTCTTGGGCATGAACTGTCAGGGACATTACTGTATCTGTGATGACAAGAGACACAAACCCATACTTGCATCTTGTCTAGCTGTGGAGGCCCATGAGAAACTATGCTCCACCCTGGGGCAGTGCGGCTGGCTGCTGGAAGTGCAGACTTCCCTCTTTAGCAGACAGCCGGGATAGTGCCTCCTCAGTCTCCAGATGGTGCACAGGAGAGCACCCTCCCCAGGTCCAGGTGAACGTGTGACTCAGACTGAGCACTGCTACTCCATGTTTCTTTTGCTTTGGGCAGCTATGCTCACACCACGGTCAGGAACTGTTGCCTCTCCCTGCTTTGTATTCCTGCCAACAGGCCAGAAGGAAGAAGTGCAGAGCAAAACCTTTACCCTGACTCATACCTGGCAACTCCTCGGCAGCAGGCTTTTCTTCAGAGTCTTGGGAAGCATTCTGTGAGGCTTTCTCAGACGGGGGTTCTTTCCTCTTTGTATTTGGCTCAGGTTCCAGCTTAGATCTAAATACAAATACTTAGCAGTTATTTTACCTCCAAAACAAATTCCTTTCTGACAAGAGAAAGGGTCATGAGTGTCTTGCGCTAATTTGCTCTGATCTCTCTACCGGGGCCCAGGAATCACACAGACACTTCATATCTTACTGTAAGGTACAATGTTGATGGTACACTGCCTTCTGCATTTCAGCCACAGCATGGTGCCTAGCATCTACACATGCTGAGGCTGCCCTAGAGACACCACACTAGGAAGTGGAGGTACAGTAATCCAGTAATTTTACACTAATACAAAAGTGTTATCAAAGACACATGCATGGGACATACACACAAAACCACACACATGCACGTACTATCATGAAATAGTTTAACTATGAAAGTATAAGTCTTTAACAGCTTGTTGAGCCAGGAAGCTTTCTTCCCACCTTTTCACACACCACTCTGTCCCTACTCACAGGGGCGTATTCATCTCTGCTACCTAGAGATCTTCTTGGACTTTCTTTTTAAATTTTGTTTATTTTTCATTAGTGTACATGCACATGAGTGTCTGCAGGCACACAGTGCACATGTTGAGGTCAGAAGACAACTTCTGTAAGTTAAGTCTTCTCTCTCCACTTTGTTGAGGCAGGATCCCCTCTCATTTCTCTGGGAGCGTCAGGTGATTTTGTCTCCACCTCCCATCTCAACGCAGGAGGACCGAGACTACAGAAGTGTGCTAGAGCATCTGTTGTTTGTTTGCTTGTTTCGGTTTTAAACACGGGTTCAGCTGCATACCGCCTCTTTCTTCCTAGCCCACCCAGCTTCCATCCAGAACCCTCCCCACTTCGGCCCCACCGCCCTCTTTCGGCACATAACGTCACCCAGCCCAGCCTGTCTGGGCACTGGGTCCGAAACCTCGGGGCACCCAAGCGGGCGGGAGTCCCTTTGTTTCTATGGCCTGCCTGCACCAAGCAGGGTAGGCGCTTTGTTTGCAACCTGCCCACCAGCACGGAGGCCTGATCTCTCGGTGCCAGGAGAGCCAGAATTGGGGTGAGTGTCTGGCCCCGTGGCGCCAGCCTGGGAAGGGGAGCTCAGAGGTTCCTAGGCCCCCTATCCTTCTTGAGCTCTCTGCAGGGCCTCCACTCCCTGCATCCGCCTCTTTCTTCCTAGCCCACCCAGCTTCCATCCAGAACCCTCCCCACTTCGGCCCCACCGCCCTCTTTCGGCACATAACATCACCCAGCCCAGCCTGTCTGGGCATTGGGTCCGAATCCTCGGGGTACCCAAGCGGGCAGAAGTTCCTTTGTTTCTATGGCCTGCCTGCACCAAGCAGGGTAGGTGCTCTGTTTGCAAGCTGCCCAACCAGCACAGAGACCTGATCTCTCAGTGCCAGGAGAGCCAACATTGGGGAGAGCCAGCGTTGGGTAGGCAAGGAGACCTGATCCGGTAAAAGAAGATCCATAAGGGAGCATTTGGAAGAAGAGATGGGCAGACGCCAAGGCAAGAATTCGCCCAACAAGCTGAAAAGCAACATGAAGCCACCAGAAACCAGCGACCTCACAACGGGAGGACATGAACACCTTAATCAAGAAGTAGAAAAGATTGACTTCATGAAAGTGATTGATGCCCTAAAACAGCATGTAAAAAACGCCCTTATAGAAATGGATGAGAAATATAACAGAAAGTTTGAAGAATTGAATAAATCAGTGAATGATACCCTAGAAAACCAAGGAAAAACAATCAAACAGATAATGGAAACAGTTTAAGACTTGAAAACTGAAATGGAGGCAAAGAAGAAAACACAAACAGAGGGCCGGCTGGACATGGAAAATTTAAGTAAACAAACAGAGTCTACAGAAACAAGCATAACCAACAGAATACAAGAGTTAGAAGAAAGAATCTCAGATTCTGAAGATACCAGAGAAAATAAACACACTGATCAAAGAAAACAGCAAGACCAACAAACTCTCATCACAAAATATTCAGGAAATATGGGACACAATAAAAAGACCAAACCTAAGAATAATAGGAATAGAAGAAGGAGAAGAAGTGCAGCTCAATGGTCCAGAAAATATATTTAATAAAATTATAGAAGAAAACTTTCCCAACCTAAAGAAAGATATACCTATGAAGGTTCAAGAAGCATACAGAACACCGAATAGGCTGGATCAAAAAAAAAAAAACATCCCCTCGCCATATAATTATCAAAACACAAAGCATACAGAATAAGGAAAGAATATTAAGAGCTGCAAAGGAAAAAGGCCAAATTACTTATAAAGGTAAACCTATCAGACTTACACCTGACTTCTCCATGGAAACCATGAAAGCCAGAAGGTCCTGGATAGATGTACTGCAGAAACTGAGAGACCATGGTTGCAAGCCCAGATGACTATACCCAGCCAAGCTTTCGTTCACTATAAATGGAAAAAATAAATTTTCCAGGATAAAAACAAATTTAAACAATACACAGCCACAAATCCAGCCTTACAGAAAGTAACAGAAGGAAAATCACTAACTAAGGAGTCCAACAATGACCACAATAACTCAGACATCTAGAGACCCTTCACCAACACAAATCAAAGAAGGGAAACACACAAACTCTAGGACTAAAAATATGACCGGAGTTAACAACCACTGGTCATTAAAATCACTTAATGTCAATGGACTCAACTCACCTATTAAAAGGCACAGGCTAAGAGATTGGATACGAAAACAGGATCCAACATTCTGCTGTTTACAAGAAACACACCTCAACCACAAAGAGAGGCACCTACTCAGAGTAAAGGGCTGGGAAAAGGCTTATCAAGCAAATGGACCTAAGAAACAAGCAAGTGTGGCCATACTAATCTCTAACAAAGTAGACTTCAAACTTAAATCAATCAGAAGAGATGGAGAGGGACATTTTATACTCATATCAGGAACAGTTCATCAGGATGAAGTCTCAATCCTGAACATCTATGCCCCTAATATAAAAGCACCCACGTACATAAAAGAAACATTGCTAAAACTCAAGGCAGCCATCAAACCGCACACACTAATAGTAGGAGACTTCAACACTCCTCTCTCACCAATGGACAGGTCAATCAATGGACAGGTCAATCAACAGAAACCTAACAGAGAAATAAGAGAATTAATGGAGGTAATGAATCAAATGGACTTAACAGACATCTATAGAACATTCCACCCAAATAGGAAAGAATATACCTTCTTCTCTGCAGCTCATGGAACCTTCTCAAAAATCGACCACATAGTCGGTAACAAAGCAAACATCCACAGTTACAAAAAAATATTAGTAACCACCTGTGTCTTATCAGATCACCATGGATTAAAGTTAGAGTTCAACAACAATGCTACCCCCAGAAAGCCTACAAATTCATGGAAACTGAACAGTCAACTACTGAACCGTACCTGGATTAAGGAAGAAATTAAGAAAGAAATTAAAGTCTTCCTGGAATTCAGTGAAAATAAAGAAACAACATACTCAAACTTAGGGGACACTATGAAAGCAGTCCTAAGAAGAAAGTTCATAGAACTAAGTGCCCACTTAGGGGGAGAAGGATGGGAGGAGGGGGAGGGAAATGGGAGGCTGGGAGGAGGTGGAAACTTGTTTTTTTTTTCTCCTTTTCTCAATAAAAAAAATGGAAAAAAAAACAGAGAAAGCTCACATTGGAGACTTAACAGCCCACCTGAATGCTCTAGAAAAAAAAGAAGCAGACTCACCTAGGAGGAGTAGAAGACTGGAAATAATCAAACTGAGGGCTGAAATCAACAAAATAGAAACACAGAAAACAATCCAAAGAATCAATGAAACAAAAAGCTGGTTCCTGGAGAAAATCAACAAGATTGACAAACCCCTATCCAAACTAATCAAATGGCAGAGAGAGAATACGCAAATTAATAAGATCAGAAATGAAAAGGGGGACATAACCACAGTCACAGAGGAAATTCAGAGAATCATTAGATCTTACTACAAAAACTTATATGCCACAAAACTGGAAAATGTAAAGGAAATTGACACTTTTTTAGATAAATACCATATACCAAAGTTAAACCAGGACCAGGTGAACAATCTAAATAGACCTGTTAGTCGCGAAGAATTAGAAGAGGTTATCAAAAACCTCCCTACCAAAAAAAGCCCAGGACCAGATGGTTTCAATGCAGAATTCTACCAGAACTTCCAAGAAGACCTAATACCTATACTCCTTAATGTATTTCACAATATAGAAACAGAAGAGGCATTGCCAAATTCCTTTTATGAAGCTACGGTTACTCTGATACCAAAACCGCACAAAGACTCAACCAAGAAAGAAAATTATAGACCAGTCTCACTCATGAACATCGATGCAAAAATCCTCAACAAAATCCAAGAACACATTAGAAAAATTATCCATTATGATCAAGTAGGCTTCATCCCAGGAATGCAGGGCTGGTTCAACATACGAAAATCTATCAATGTAATCCAGCATATAAATAAACTGAAAGAAAAAAAACCATATGATCATTTCATGAGATGCTGAAAAAGCATTTGACAAAATTCAACATACATTTATGATAAAAGTATCGGAGAGATTAGGGATACAAGGGTCATACCTAAATATAATTAAAGCTATATACAGCAAGCCGACAGCTAACATCAAATTAAATGGAGAGAAACTTAAAGCCATCCCACTAAACTCAGGAACATGACAAGGCTGTCCACTCTCGCCATACCTCTTCAATATAGTGCTTGAAGTTCTAGCAATAGCAATAAGACAACATAAAGGGATCAAGGGGATTCTAATTGGAAAGGAAGAAGTTAAACTTTCGTTATTTGCAGATGATATGATAGTGTACATAAGCGACCCCCAAAACTCCACCAAAGAACTTTTACAGCTGATAAACAGCTTTAGTAATGTGGCAGGATACAAGATCAACTCCAAAAAATCAGTCGCCCTCTTATACACAAAGGATATGGAAGCAGAGAGGGAAATCAGAGAAGCTTCACCATTCACGATAGCCACAAACAGCATAAAATATCTTGGGGTAACTCT